TGGTCACAGGAAACACAAAACCTCCAGGAATCTAAGTGTAGACTCCCTCTCCTCTCACTGAGGGTTGTAGGAGCCACCGGGGGATGGGGGACAGGCTGAGTTCCCTCCAAAACCCATGAAATGCACACGTCCTGACCCCAGCAGTGCTGCACCCTTGTAGGCTGTCACCTGGCTGGGCCAGGCATGTGCTTGGGAGGAAGAGAAAGAAAGGGGTGGGATGTGGGGTGGGGTGTGGCACTGGGAGCCCAGGGCCACAGGGCAGCTCCCTGTGAGAACTAGAGAAGCCACGTAAGTGTTATGTAGCTAATCAGAAAACAACGGGGTTCCCAGAGGCTGGGAAGGGTGGGGGAGGGGGTTGAAGCGAGCTGGGTAGGGATACAGAAATACAGTTAGATAGCAGGAATAAGTTCTAGTACTTGACAGCACAGTGGAGAGACTGCAGTTAATAATTTAGAGGCTGGGCTATGGCTCAGCCTGTAATCCCAGCACTTTGGGAGGACAAGGAGGGTGGATTGCCTGAGCCTGCGGGTTTGAGACCTGGCCGGGCAGCTTGGCAAGACCTCGTCTCTACAATAAATCCAAAAAATTAGCCAGGCTTGGTAACGCACGCCTGTAGTTCCGGCTACTTGGAAGTCTGAGGCAGAAGGATCGCCGGAGCCCAGCAGGCCAAGGCTGTGGTGACCATGAGTGTGCCACTGCACTCCAGCCTGGGCAACAGAGTGAGACTCCAACTCAAAAAAAAATGTATTGTCTGTTTCAACACAGTGAGATTTGTAATGTTCCCAACATAAAAGATATATATTTGAGGTAATGGATCTCCCCATTGCCCTGACTTGATCATTACACATTGTGCACAAGCATCAAAATGCCACATGTACCCCCCCAAAATATGTACAGCTATTATATATCAACTTTCAAAGGAAAGACAGGCGACCGGGTGTGGTGGCCCACACCTGTAATCCCAAGCACTTTGGGAGGCTGAGGCAGGATTGCTTGAGCCCAGGAGTTCAAGGCCAGCCTGAACAACATAGTGAAACTTTGTCTCTACAAAAAAAAAGTAGCTGGGCATGGTGGTGTGGGCCAGAAGTCCCAGCTTCTCAGGCTGCTGAGGTGGATGGACTGCCTGAGCCCAGGAGGTCGAGGCTGCTGTGAGCCATAATCATCATGATCTTGCCACTGCCCTCCAAGTCTGGGCACCAGAGACCTCCACTCAAAAGGAAAACCCAAATAAAACAAAACACAGTTCTGTAGTTAATAGCTATATCAGGCAGAAACTGGAGAGAAAAACCAGCCAAGCAGCCAAGCAACTTCACTGCCATTTTCTTCTTGGCCTCCAGCTGAAACTGCCTCTGGGTTCCCCTTCCCAGGCCCCCGGCCCTGTGTGTGCCCACCCTAGATAACCTGTTCCTCCTGCTCCCGGGAAGCCTTCTGAGGAGCTTGGGATGGTAAGGAGTAAAGCAGAGGTGGGTCTCAGCTCATGTCTGCCTGGCTCCTGGCTCCTGGGGTGGAAGGCCATCATGTCTGAATGACCCCTGCGCCACCATCTCTGCTGGTGGAAGTGGAGGCACCATGGGAAGTGACAGCAGAAGTGCTGTGCAAATGGCAGGGAGGTCTTGCGTGCCAGAAAGGGGTCTCTGGGGCTACGTCTCAAAGCTTAGAGTTTTTAGTCCTCCTTAGGGACCAGTTGCCCAGTCAGCCTGGGAGCTATCCACCTCAGCTCCCACCAAGAATTCTGTTCTTAGCATCCTTTCCTTGCCAAAGCACAAAGAAAGCAATTTCGGATCTGAAAACGCTTCACAAGCAGAAGTAACTGTTAACTTTAATTTCTGCTTCTCCAAGGGTTGTGAACTGGAAATCAGAAAGGTTAAGTAACTTACCTGCAGTTGCCACTGCCCAGGCCAGAATGACAGGTGGCAATCCTAAGCCCTGGCAGTTTTCCTTCTACTGAATCAGTGGATCCCCCCAGAGAGTGTGATGGAAGTCCCAGGCAGCTTTAGATCAATCAGTTTCCCAGAAGCTGATTCCAAGACATGATGTGGGGTCTGGGAATCTATGCAGAGAAGGCAGAATGCCACCACTGGCTTCAGGCTCCCCAAGGGCACGTGGGCCTGGCAGAGGAAGACAAAAGTCCCAGCAGAGCCAGGCCTGGGGAGGAAGAGACGCTTTTCCCATGACAGATGGCTTGCAGCTCAGTCCTGGCTCCAGAATGCAAAGGAGACCAGAAATAGATGCTCAGGAGGCGGCATCTGCCACACACCACACGCCACGCACCATGCCAGAGCTCTCACTGGGAAGACACGTATCCTGGCCCACTTTCCACACAGACCTTCCTGAAATGCAGAGGGGAGGGGGGCGGGGCTGGAGCAGCAGAGGGAGGAAGAATGGACAGCGGTTGAAGCATCATTCTCTGGCTCGGGTGGAATAGGGAGTATACCCTGACCAGCCAGGGCAGTCTCCACGTAGCCCCTCCGCCGCTGCCGCCGGCCTCAGTCAACAGAGCGTGTACAACAGATGCCTCTGGTCTAAGCTCACTCCTGATACCCCAGCCCAGAATCCGAAGTGCCTCAGTCTCTTTCTTAGCCCACTTCATCCTCCAGGCCCTCTCCTGAGCCCCGAGTCCTTCAGGGTCCTAGTAACATGACTAGCAGCAGGGAAAAAGGTAAACTTTTATTTGGAAAAAGAGGGTTTAAATGGGCATTTCATTTCCAAAACAGAAACAAAACAAGGACGACAACATCTGTCAAGCTCCTGCCACTGCCACCTTCAGCCGCTTCTAACCTGCATTTCCTGGCAGAAAACGGTGACATCCCCAACCTGGGGACCAGCAGGGCCTGTCGGGAGACCATCTCAGGAGATGCCCAGGGGACAAACAGAGTGAATGGTGGGGTGTGGACAGACAGGCCTGGGGCTCAGACAGGCACATGCCCAGCACCCCCAGGAAACCAAGTCTAAAAATATACATGTATACAAAAATAAATTCCCCAGAACAAGGCATGGAAAGCTAAAAACCATGAATTCAGCAGCGAAATTCTTTGGGTTTCGCTTTGAAGGAAGGAAGAGAGTGCTAACCTGGCTTGATGTCCCTAACCCAAGCCTCCCAGCCACCGTCTTCGCCCCACTCCAGAGGCACCAGCAAGTCTACTCTGCCAAGGCCAGCTGCTGCTGAGTTAAGGGAGACATGGGAGGGACTAGCCCAGGAATGCCCCAGGCCACATGCCAGCAATGAAAGACTAAGGCATGCAGGTGACACAGGCCAGGGAGTCCCTGGAACGAGCCAGGACTCCCAGGCTGGGGAGGGAAACAGAGGCAGCAAGCAGCTGAGACCTACTGGACTCAGCAGACCCTCCAGCTCTGCCACCCAAATTCTTAGACTCATTTTGCCCAAGGCCACCTTTCTGCTGAGATGGAGTGGCCTGAGTTAACACCAGGCTCTTCTAGAGGAAAAAAAAAGGAAGGGAAAGGGGGAAGCAGGAGGCAGCAGAAAGTAAAAAGTGGTGGAAGGAGAGGAACAGAAAACTGCTTCTTGCGTGTGCAGAGGAAAGAGAACCAGCCCTTCGGGTCTTACATCCTAGTGAGGGCAGCTGTAGCACCCCTGGTCTTTCCCCTGCTGAGACACCCATCCTTACCCAGTGCAGTGAGACGAGCGTTTCCTGAAGGCTCTTTCTCCCCATCCTTAGGAGTTTTATGTCTCACACAACTATCCCAGCCCACTATGCCCCATACAGGGGTTCAAACATCTGACTTCCACAGGGAAGCCTGGGAAAGGGCCAAGCCCTAGATAAATCATACCAAGTCTGTGGGGGGCCCTGGTTGGAGGCACAGGCCACTGGGGCAGGCGGTGCACCCTTCAATGAGGGAACCCATTCATTCCCGGAGCCCAGCTGCCACACCTGCCTGGGTTGCAGACTGAACGCCTAACACAGTGATGAGGAGAGCCAGGTCCATGGCCCCCCTCTGCCCAGGTCACACTCTGACCAGCCCACAGGCCTACAGCCTAGTGTGGAGTTCGGGCTGGGCAAGGGCAGGCCCCACCCAAGAGGACAGGAGTGGGACACACACTTCACACGTGCGTGCTGGCTGCAGGGCAGGGCCTGGAAGTCAGAGGGCAAGGAGGAGGTCAGGGCAGAAGGCACCTCCAATAAACACCTGAGAGCAAATAACCAATGAGATCAGTAACTCCCACAACCTGGTCATTAAAAATCAAGGGGGCAGCGCTGGATACATGGAAGGAAGGGGAACCCCCCTTCTGCCTCTCCCAAGGCCACTGAGGCATGGCACAGGATCAGGAAGAGGTTGGGGCAGGGCGGGGACCCCAGGCAGAGAACGTGGACAGGCCTGGAGAAAATCTAACCACGGGAAAGGGGACGGGGTGGGGGACGTGAGTTTCTTGGCTCTAAGTTCCAGAAGCAAGGGTTATTCCACAGTCTCTGATCCAGTAAGCTCTTCTGGAGAGAAGCTCTCTTCCCTGGGAGCCCATCAGGGGGTGGCGACCTCCATCCCGAAGCTGGCCAGCAGGCAGAGGTGGTCTGAAGAGCAGAAGGGGTTGGGCAGGCCATTGGCAGCCCAGAGGACCTCTTCTGAGAGCAGCGAGAGGCGGCCCAGCAGCTTGAGAGTCCTGTCTCGACACGACCTGTGACCTGGGCACAGAGCAGAAGCCAGAGGTGAAGCAGCCACCATCCCGCACACTCCGGGCAGGACACTTCTGAAGTCCGCGTCCCCTCTCTCCCTTCCTCCAACGGCTCCACCCAGAGGCCTTCCTTTCCACTCCACTACAGATTAGGATGGTGAGCTCTGGGGACCACGGCATGCTGGAGAGCGCACACCAGGCCCCGCAGGACAAGACCTCAGATTTGCAAGAGAAGTTGGAGATCCAGCTTTTCTTTTTCTTTTTTTTTTTTTACTTTTTGAGTCAGAGTCTCATTCCGTCGCCCAGGCTGGAGTGCGTGGCACGCTCACGGCCACCCCACGTCCACCTGCTGGGTTCCAGCCATCCTTCCACCTCAGCCTTCCAAGTAGCCAGAACTACAGGCTCATGCTACCATATCCGGCTAATTTTTTGAGATATCATAGTGCCAAGGTCTCACTAAATTACCCAGGCTGGTCTCGAAACCCCGGGCTCAGGTAGTCCCTTCACCTCAGCCTCCCAAATTGCTGGGATTACAGGTTTGAGCCACCGCGCCTGACCAAGATCCTGCTTTTCTATGTAAAGTCTGACTTTTAAACATAACATTCAATTCAGATATTTTAAAATATCCTTTAAACAACACAGGCGTGGGGCTGGGGGATGGCCACACTGTGACTACCAGTATGAGGAGACAGAAAGCAGGGTCTTTTATCCTAGCCCAGGCCCTCAGGAACCAGCTGCCACTGGACCAATCTAATCCCCATCTGGCCTCTCCTACGGGGACAGAAAGGGACTGTCCAATCCACCTCTAACACCGCATGAGTGGGGAGAGAGAAGGCCACACTGGCCTGCAGGGAGACAAGGCCGGCGGCCAAGGAGGCCCAGAATCTGCTCCCCCACGGCTGAGTCCCAGCACCAAGCCAGCCCATGCCTGCCCTGCCACTGGGGACACCCAGAGCCCCAGGAGTGGAGGAGACCAGGTCCATCAGGTGTACCAGGTCTGCTCCCATTCTCGCAGGACTCAGCTGAGAAGAAGATGTAGTCCACGGTCATCCCGAGTCCCAGAGGCATCGTGGTGACCTCCGGGCGGCCATGCTGGGGCAGGAAGTGGGTGTACACCGAGGTCAGGTGGAGGCAATGCTGGATGGTGCCTGCAGGCCTACAGGATGGGGAGAGATGTCCATCAACAGGCATTATTAAATCTCCCAAGGTCACTTTCTCTATGGTTTTATGAAGTTTTTTTAAGGGATGTGCCCAGATGTCTCCATCTCAGCAAATTCCTTCCCATGTGTCTCAGCTGACATCGGTCTAGAAACAGACATATTTATACTGAGGCCCGACATTCCTTACACCGTTCCTGCCATCTGGTGAAGCACACCCCATGTACCCACTGCCAGGCTTTGCCCCTGAGGAGACAGTGTGTGCCCGTAGGGCACCTCTGGCTTCTGCACACCAGCATGCCCCTCACCTCACTCAGCAGGTGTTAGGGGAGGAAAGGGTTTAGCAAAAAGCCTCAGGATAACCCATGGGAATCTCCCTCCTACCAGGGAGGGGCTGGACTGAGTGCTGAAGAGAAGGTTACCTGGGGGAGGCAGGCTCAGGCTCCAATGTGTCTTCCTCAACGACAGACTCGGCCCAATCTGCAGGTCGCTCTGTAGAAGACCAGAGAGAAGAAGGTTTCTCATCATTGACCATGGAGCAGGGTTAGAGCCTTCCACCCTGAAATCCCCCTCAGATCCGGGACTGAACTGCTCCAGAAGGATCCAGAAGGAAAAAGGGAAAGAGAGACAGTGAAGAGAGGGAGAAAACAAGAAGCCTAAGTCAAGTTCAAGAAGGCAGATACAGAGGCCTCAAACTAGGTACTGCCTCCCTGGATCCATCTCTTTTTTTTTCATTTAGTGTTTTTTTTTTTTGTTTTTTTTTTTTAGAATAGGTCATATAGTCACATGGTACAAAAATCAAAACAGAAAAAGTTTCCCTCCCACTTGCCCCCTGCCACTCAATTCCCCTCTGGAAGCAACAATGTTACCAAATTCCTGGTATAGTTCCTTAGAGATTTTCTATCACATTCCATCCATTGTGTGCATATATGTATCGATGTATACATGCATGCACATATGCATATAAACATAATAATAATGGATACACATTTATACATCATATACACAAACACTATTTTTTTTTAAAGGAAGATACAAATTACCAATATAGGAAAAGAAAGAAGGAACATTACTGCAGACTCTACTGACATTAACGGGATAACAAGTATCAACAACACTGACAAACCCTTTGCTAGACTGACCAAGAAAACAGAAATCTCAAATTACTAAATCAGGAATGAAAGAGGGGCCATCACTACGAACCATATCGAAATAAAAAAAATTTTTTAAACTGTACGCAAATAAACGACTGACTACCAACAAATTAGATAACTTAGATAAAATGGACAAATTCCTAGAAAGATATAAACTGAAAGAAACAGAAAATCTAAATAGGCCTGAAACAAGAAACTGAATTAATAGTTTTAAAACATCCCATAAAGAAAAGCCCGGGCTCAAATGGCTTCATTGTGAATTATATCAAACATTTAAGAGGTCCTTCACAAACACTTCCACACAAAAAAGAAAACATTCCTCAACTCAATCTACGAGGTGAGTTTTACTCTGACACCAAAGCTAGATAAAACATCACAAAGGAAACTACAATTTCCCTTGTAAATACACATGTAAAATTCGACAACAAAATACCAGCAAACCAAATCCAGCAAAACATAAAATGATTATACACTATGACCAAATAGGAGTTATCCTAGGAACGTAAGCTTGGTTTAACATCTGAAAAGCAATTAATATCATATATCACATTAATAGATTATTTAAGGACAAAAACCATATGATTATCTCAACAGACATAGGAAAAACATTCGACAAAGTCTAGCACCCTTTCATGATTAAAAAAACACTGAAAAAAAAAGGAATAGAAAATAACTTCCTCAACCTGATAAAGATAACCTATAAAAAACCCACAGCTATCAACATACCTAATGGTGCAAGACTGAAAGCTTTACTCTTCAGATCAGAAACAAGACAAGGGGGTCTGTACTCACCACTTCTATTCAACACTGTACCAAAAGTTCAAGTCAGGATAATTATGAAAAAAGAAGAAATAGAAAGCACCCGGATTGGAACAGAAGTAACACTATTTCTATATGATTCTATGATCTTATATAGAGAAAAATCCTAAGAAATTAACAATAAAACTATTAGAACTAATATTAATGAGTTTAGCAATATCACATGATACAAGATCAATACGTAAAAATATTCCTATACGTTAGCATGAACAATCCAAATATAAAATTAAGAGGACATGCCCAGGCTCGGTGGCTCAGCCTGTAATCCCAGCACTTTCGGAGGCCGAGGCGAGTGGATTGCCTGAGCCTGCGGGTTCGAGACCCACTTGGGCAACTTGGTGAGACCTCGTCTCTATGATAAATCAAAAATTAGCCGGGCACAGTAGCGCATGCCTATAGTTCCGGCCACTTGGAAGGCTGAGGTAGAAGCATCGTCAGAGCCCAGTAGGTCGAGGCTGCAGTGGCCGGGAGTATGCCACTGCACTCCAGTCTGGGCAACAACAACAAAAAAAAAATTAAGAGGACAATTCAATTTAAAATAGCATCAAAAAGAATAAAATAGGGAAAATGTAACAAAAAAATACACTATTTTTGCACACTGAAAACTACAAAGCATGGAAAAAAATTAAAGTTCTAAATAAATAAGCTGGGCACAGTGGCTCACACCTGTAATCCCAGAACTTTGGCAGGCGGAGGTGAGAGGATTGCCTAAACCCAGGGGTTTGAGACCAGCCTGGGCAACTCAGAGAGACCTCGTCTCTACAATAAATCAAAAAATTAGCCAGGCGTGGCAGCACGCGCCTGCAGTTCTAGCTACATGGAAAGCTGAAGCAGAAGGATCACCTGAGCCCAGCAGGTCGAGGCTGCAGTGGCCATAAGCGTGCCACTGCACTCCAGCCTAGGCAACAGAATGAGACTCCAACTCAAAAAGATAAATAAATAAATAAGTAGCCCATGTTCAGTGGCCATAAGCCAATATTGTTAAAATGGAAGTATTTCCCAAATTGATCTACAGATTTGTAGATCCCTATCAACATCTCTGCTGGCTTGTCTGTAGAAATCAACATGCTGATCCTAAAACTCACACGAAAATGCAAGGGACCCAAGTAGACAGAAAAAAAAAAGACTTACTCTTCCCTACTCAAAAGAACAGTAACCCCACCCTACCTCCACCACGGTTAACATATTCCAAGACCATCAGGGGAGGCCTGAAACCTCAGATAGTACCAAACCGTATACATACTGTTTTTTCCTCAACATATGATAAAATTTAATTTACAAATTAGGCACATAAAGTTGAACAATAACTAATAATAAAGTGGTCCTTTTCTCCCAAAATCTCTTAATAATTTTGAACCTCAGTTAGCCTCAGGTAACTGACACCAAAGAAAGTGAAACCGTGGAGGGGGGACTACTACATGCAGAACGACAGTCATCAAGCCAGTGTGACACCGGCCTAAGGAAACACAGAGATGAACCGGAGAGAACCAAGACCCACACATCTATGGTCAACTGATTTTTGACAAGGGAAGAGGCAGATGGAACGTGACTGCTCGTGGTACAGTGTTTCTCTTGTGGGTGATGTAAACGTTCTAAGATTAGAGTGAGGTGATGGCCGCACATCCCTGAATATACTGAAAGCCAATGAATTACATGTTACGAATGGGTGGGTTTTATGATAAGTGAATTTCATCTCAATTCAGGAGTTTGAAAAAAGAATAAGGGAATGTAATGGAACTTTGTGCCAATAAGTTTGATAATTTAGATGAAATGCTTCTTTTATATAGCTTGTATTTTTCCTGTAAAATTTATTTCTGTATTTTTCTTTTTGCTGCCATTACAAATAGGGTCTTTTCTTCATTGTATGTCTTAACAAATATAGCAGTGTTTTTATATATGAATTACTTTCTGCTTATTAACTTTTTACCCAGCTACTTTCCAGAATTATCTTAATGCCTGATGCTGTTTTTAGTTGATTCTCTTGGATTCCCAGTTATACAATGATATCAACAGCAAGTAATAATTTACCCCCTGCTCCATCTTTGCACTTCTATTTTTTTACTTGTATTTCTATCTTCTGGTTCTAATTCTGTTGGCTGGTGTCTCCAAACACAGTTAAATGATAGTGTCGTCCTTGCCTTAACAAAAATGCTACTAGAACTTCTTCCTTTAAACATATTTAAATCAGAGCTGAGATAAATATATTTCAACAGTGTAAGTAACAAAGTGTCCATTTTTTCCTTAAGAGTATCTGTTTAAAAAGAATCTGGAATAGATGTTAGTAAGTGTCCCTTCAACATCTACAGAGATGATGACATGGGTTTCATCTATTTTAATAGATTTCATATATATACAAGATAAATTGTGTTAATAATTTCCATATATTAAACTATCCTTATGTTTCTCATAAACTCCAGTTGGTCATAGAATACTGTGCTTTCAATGTGCTGCTAGATTGCTTCCTGATCTTCTATTTAACAATTTTTGTGTCGATATTCATAGGTAGAGAATATGAGTCAGGAGTTTTCTTCTGTATAATGATTGTCAGGTATTGGTATCAATATACCTGTTTCATAAAAATAGCATGGACCCTTTCTTCCTGCCTATGCTCTGTAACAACTTAAACAGTGTGGAAGTAAAGGTTCTTCAAAGGTTTGGGGACATTCCCTGTCAATCAGAGCCTGGTACTTTTGAGGGACTGCATCTCTGAGAACTGTTCCTATTATTTTTCCCTCTGTGGTAGAGTTAGTCTATTGGGACGGTCTCCCTAGAATTGGTATTAGTAAGTTACATTTATATGCCATCTCAATTTTCAATTTCTTTTGCACTTAGTTGACCAAAAACCGCTTTAGGGAAAAAAACCATTTTTAGGGTTTTTCCTCTGCACGTGGATACCGGATCCTGTTCTTTTTCCTCTTCAATGGTTAGCTAAAAGACCTCTTTAATCAACAGCTGTTTTTCACCTAAACAACCAACTCTTAGAATTTATTTATGTCTCACTTTTCTATTTTCAAAATTATTTCCATTCTTTCTTTTTGCTTTGTTTTAATCCTAATTTCATGAATTGAATGTTTAATTCACTTCCTTTCATCCCTTCATATCTATCAATTCTATGATTCTAAATATTCTCTACAATTTTATGAATTTTTCACTGAACACTGTTTTAGTTATAAATATCCCACAAATACAAGGGGTATTTTTCTGGATATTCTGTTTCCTTTTAAATTTTCTCTATGATTCAAAAGTTGTTTTTTTTTTTTCTTTTTCATGTCTAGATGATAGTGTTTTCCTTTTTGTTTTTAATTGCTGTTTTTACTGCATGTGCCTTGTGGTCTAGTGTGTAATCAATTCTTAAGAATTTCCTGTGAATACTTAAAAAAGAAGACAGCCTCTCTGCTTTCAAAGTTCAGAGTTGATGTGTATGGATCAGATTTGCCATACATGTTACTTGGGTGTTCCACTCACCTAGTCACTTTTTACCGATTTGGTCTGAGAAAGGGGAAGTAAAATCTTCGACTG